ACAGAGATAATCCTGGATGAGCCCAAATAGACATGGGCCCCTAAAAAACTAAAACTCTGACCCAACCTCTCCATTTGTTCATTTCGTTTAATTATACATAGGATGCATATGACCCAGCTTATTTTTTACATTGACTAGACATAGCTGAACATTACGGAAGCTTATACGAGTCATCTTGATTTTTTTTCTTATCTCGTTATAACAAGATAGCTTATCTCGTTATACCAAGATAACTGTCTCGTTATAACAAGATAGCTGATATCGTCATCATGTCCTAAACATATATCAGATACATCGTACATCACAGCTTCGCTGCACATGTAATCAAGGAGCGAACCAGGTAGGGAAAGAAGAGCAGATTAAACATTAAGTTTTTATCTTTCTTTTACATGTGACGATCTCGAATGTTTGCCAAAATGTAGATATTGGCAGGTTTTGATGAAATTTGGTATGTAAATGATTTGATACTACAAACATGACTGCGAATTATATTTCTGGATTAAAAAAGGCCACCATTTGGTAGCTTCTGATTGGTAGAAATGTATACGTTCGATTTCAATAAAATGGTGTACATTATGACTTTATAAATGATATTGTGGGTTCTTTAAGCTTCATTAGCGACTGCGAGGGTAGTTTTGGGGACGTCTGTAACGGTCTTCGTTACAATTAACACTTGTTATACATAAAAAGATGAGGAAATAATGAAATATCTTAAAACCTGTACTTATATGCTTACTCTCAGCACGTAGGTATGGACGAAGAGAGGTCTAAATGGTGCAGACTTTACTTTGGATTGAGCTATAAGCATACTTTGGGATTAATGGCACAGGAACATAATATTATTATTAGCTTGAGCACATTGAAGAGAACATTAGCTTGAGCACATTGAAGAGAACTTAACGGAAAAGGGGACTATTCAGAAGGAAATTTCATTCGGGTATTCTTGACGTGGCTTCGTTTATAAACGAGATCATAGATACCAAAGGCAAAGAACACGGTTACCGTTGGATGCATTTACAGTGCATACACGATGGATTAACTGTTTCAATAGAAACTGTTTCTTCCTTTATGCCAATTATCGATCCTAACGGAGTAGAACGAAGGCTTAAACATCGCTTGGCAAGAAGACAATATAATGCAAAGGGGCCAGATCACTTGTGGCATATAGATTCATACGTTAAACTTAAAAGATATGGACTATCCATAAATGGCTGCATTGATGGGTTTTTCTCGGAAAACTATTTGGTAAGTCATTTTAATTAAGTGGAAAGATACATCCATATAAATTTGGTCTCAGATATTTGAAATAATATCTTTGTTGTAAAATCTTTTCTTAGATCTATTTATTAGATTTTTAACCGCCGTTAATAACTAGAATGATATACAAATTGTAATAATATATCATATGTATGTGTGAAGGATAAGAAGTTCCTCGCGTCTTAGATGCATGCATTTTATACTAATTTGATACTGAATATGAATTAAACTAGTTGTATGTCACGGAAGTATTTATTCTTGAAAAAGTGTTTCGCCATTTTGCAATGGCCATACAGGTCTCTAGACTCTATCAGCATGATTCTAGCCAATATAAAACAACCCGTAAGGGATTTTCTAATCCGACATTTATATATATGGTAGACTATCTAAATTCGTAGAGAAATAGGTGATAAAGAATAAGTATTATAATCGACTTGTGTTATACGACCAACACATATTTGATTTTTTTTTATCGTAGAAAATGTCTAGAAAGTAAGATAAAAAGACAGGAAATATTAAAGGAAAACACGTGTATAGTTGCCCTCCTTAGAAATATCCCATACATATTGTAATAATAGTTGCCTTAGTAGAGTATCTACGGTACTTACTATACAATATATACTACGTCATCAAGTTATGTACACACAACCTCGTTCTGATTAAAAGCACATGTTAGACAGACGACCATCTTAGTGTTGTGATATTTCATGGTGTCAGAGTGAAAACGGGCACGATGGACAATTTAAAGGCACCAGATCCATTACAAATGGATGGAAACATGTCAGAAAATTATCGAAGGTGGATACAACGCTTCGAGTTGTACCTGACAGCGACTGGAATCTCAGAAAAAGATGAGAAGATACAGATCGCCACCTTTCTCCACGTGATCGGACCGGAGGCATTGGAAGTGTACAACACCTTCAAGTTCGACAATGAAGACGATAGGAAGAAACTAGACAACATAACAGCTAAGTTCAAAGATTATTGTAATCCCCGAAAAAACATAACATACGAGAGACATTGTTTCTTTATCCGAAATCAAAACGAAACGGAAACTATTGACCAGTATGTTACTGAACTCCGTAAAAAGGCTTCAACCTGTGAGTTTAGAGATCTTTGTGACAGTTTAATCCGAGATCGATTAGTGTGTGGGGTTCGAAACAAAACGGTCAAAGATAGACTCCTTCGAGATTCTGACTTGAGTCTGAAGAAAGCAATAGACATTTGTCGTGCAAGTGAAGTTTCTCAGATTCAACTGAAATCATTAAATGATGAAACGCAAGTACATGTTGTCAAACAGAAAAATCCCGGATATCAAGGTGCCACACAGAGGAAAAATCAGAACAGTCAACAAAACCCGTCGTGTCATAAATGTGGTTATAAACACCCCGTTAATAAATGTCCTGCAGAAGGTGAAACTTGCAATAAATGTTTTAAAAGTAATCATTTTGCAAAAATGTGTAGGACAAAAGTTGACAAAGGACAGAGTAAGAAAAGCTCACATCGTGGTACAAATCATGCCAAATTTCGTGGCAGAGGAAGAGGTCAAGTACAGATGGTACATATCCAAGAAGATTCAGATGACGAATACCCATTGTTTGTTGAGGCAGTAAATGATGAGAAGTCCAGCGAGAAGGACTGGTTTATTGAAATAGAGACTGAAAACAGGAAGACAAGATTTAAAATGGACACTGGGGCACAGTGTAATGTGATTTCCAAGTCTGATTTCAATCAGATAGGAGGAAAACTCCAGAAGGGAAAAGCTAAAAAGTTGGTGACATATACCGGACAGAAAATCAAAACGGTAGGGAAAACCACTTTAGCATGTGGTTACCAGAACAAAATTTACCCACTAGAATTTCAAGTTGTGGATCATCAAGTCACACCAGTGTTAGGGCTACAAGCATGCAAGGAGTTAAATCTCATACAAAGAATTGAGCTTGTGGAGAAGAAGGAACCAATCCTAGAGGAGTTCAAAGATGTCTTCCAGGGATTAGGAAAACTTCACAAATATCGTATCAAAATTGATGAGTCGGTAACACCAGTCATTCATCCGCCGAGGCGTGTGCCAGTTGCTCTACATGACAAGGTTAAGGCTGAGCTTGACCGCATGGAATCACTAGGCGTGATTGACAAAGTACAGGAACCGACAGATTGGGTCAACTCAATGGTTATTGTGACAAAGACTAATGGCAAATTACGCATTTGCATTGATCCGAAAGACCTAAACCGTGCTATAAAAAGAGAGCACTACCCAATGAAGACAATCGATGATGTCACATCCAAAGTGTCAACTGCAAAATATTTCTCAAAACTGGATGCTGAGTGTGGATTTTGGCAAATCGAGTTGGACCAGGAAAGTAGTCGATTATGTACATTCAATACACCGTTTGGACGGTATAAATTCAATCGGCTTCCATTCGGAATCTCTTCAGCACCGGAAGTATTCCAACGCGCAATGTCTGAAGTCTACGAAGGAATGGAAGGTGTCGAGACTATAGTCGATGATATTTTGATCTGGGGCGAGACTCGCGAACAGCATGACACGAGACTACGTCAAGTCCTTGAGCAAGCTCGAAAACACAACTTACGGCTGAATAAGCATAAGTGTCAAATCGCGGTTACTGAAATCCAGTATATAGGACATACACTCAGTGTTGAGGGTCTTAAACCCGATCCGGACAAAATTAAAGCAATAACTGAAATGCCAGAACCAATGGACAAACAAGGTCTACAAAGGTTCATGGGAATGGTCCAGTATGTGGCAAAGTTTCTGCCCAATCTTTCCCAAGAAAGCCCACCGATTAGAGAGCTTCTCGAAAAAGATGTAGTATGGCATTGGAATGAACAGCACCAGAAATGTTTCCTGCATCTAAAGGACATGGTGTCTTCTACACCTGTTCTCCGATATTATGATGTCAACAAGCCAGTCACACTATCTGTTGATGCGTCGTCAACAGGCCTTGGAGCAGTTTTACTACAGGGAAATCAACCTGTGGCATATGCGTCAAATCACTTACACTGGCCCAACAGCGTTATGCGCAAATAGAAAAAGAGATGCTAGCCATTGTCTTTGGAGCCAAGAAATATCATCAGTATATCTTAGGCAAGACTGTTACTGTACAATCAGATCATAAGCCACTCGAGATTATCATGAAGAAGCCACTTCATCTTGCGCCAACAAGACTTCAACGCATGCTGTTGAAACTTCAGCAGTATAACCTGGATGTTAAATATGTACCAGGAAAGTTATTGCATGTGGCAGATGCATAAAGTCGTGCTCACCTTGCAGAGGAAGCCTCTGACCTTGAGGAGGAGTTTGAGGTTCATCTAATGTTAGCGGTGTCTGACAAAAAAATACAAGAAATCAGCCGCGAGACAGAGAATGACAATGTTCTTAGGGTCGTAAAATCAATTATCTTGAAAGGATGGCCGAACAATCGTTCAGAGGTATCAAGTGAAGTACCGCCAGAGTTATGGAATGTTAGAGATGAACTAACCATTCAAAATGGTGTCATATTCAAAGGGGACCGACCTTTGATTCCCTCATCAATGAGAGGAGAAATGTTGGAGAAAATTCATGAGTCGCACCTGGGCATAGAAAAGTGTCGTCAGCGAGCCAGAGATGTCATATTCTGGCCAGGGATGTCAACAGATATTGAAAATGTCGTTTCAAAATGTGCGGTTTGTCAAGAAAATCGTATGTCTAATGTTAAAGAACCGTTGATGTCACACGATGTACCAGAACGCCCATGGTCGAAAGTTGGAACTGATATATTCTACGTAGGTGGAGACTCGTACCTGCTCTTAGTTGATTACTACTCGGAATTCATCGAAATTTCAAAGATGTTGGACACTAGAAGTGAAACTGTTATAACACACTGCAAATCACAATTTGCTCGACATGGCATACCCGACATATTGATCTCCGACAATGGGCCACAATATGCATGTGATGTGTTTCGACGTTTCGCGAAAACGTATGGTTTCGAACACAGGACCTCAAGTCCGACATTTCCTCAGTCAAATGGAATGGCAGAAAAGTCAGTACAGACAGCAAAGCGTCTACTGAAAAAAGCTGCACAAAGTGGGCGAGACCCATATCTTGCACTGCTAGATCTGCGAAATACACCAAGGTCATCAAAGATTGGATCTCCTGCACAGCGTTTGTATGGAAGGAGAACAAGAACCTTACTTCCGACTTCTACAAACTTGTTAGTGCCAAAAGTGATGACAAAAGTGACAGAGAACCTTAAACTGAAACGGCAAGAACAAAAGTTCTATTATGATCGTGGATCACATGAATTACCTCCCCTTGACCTGGGAGAAAATGTCAGAATTCGCCAACGGAATAACTGGCAGCCAGGACGCGTTGTAGGTTTTGATCAGAATCCTCGTTCTGTAATGGTGCAGTCGAAAGGAAAAACATATCGAAGGAATCGGAAACACTAAAGTGACGCGAAGTGTTCACAGAAAATGACTTGGCACGCACAGTGGAGCAACCATGGTATGATGATGTTAAAATGGACCCAATTAGCAGAGACAGTCGTGAGGAAAGAAACAGTTGCGAACCTCCAAAAATCCGTGCCAACCAACCAAGTGAGATTCCAACCACAGGACCAACCGTAGCACCACCAGTACAGCGAACCTCGAGAGGACGCGAAATCAAAGAGCCCGCAAGGTTCAAAGATTACCTAAAAACTTGACATTCGCAGTCGTGTATTCATGTGTACTAACCAGGAACTCTTAAATGTTCTGTTATTAGGATCACTGACAGTAATTGAATCAATTCAAAGACAGTAAAGTCAATAGTAAACTTCATAACTTCAGTATTAAGCTACATATCTAGTCATTAGCTAAATTCTAGTCATTTTATATTTTGCATAATAACAAACAATAATTTAATGATTCCATAGTTGATTTAATCTTAAAAAAGAAAGGAGATGTAATAATAGTTGCCTTAGTAGAGTATCTACGGTACTTACTATACAATTATATACTACGTCATCAAGTTATGTACACACAACCTCGTTCTGATTAAAAGCACATGTTAGACAGACGACCATCTTAGTGTTGTGATATTACACATATCGCATACATATTTGATTAATATGAATGAAAATGAATATAGTATCATGTTGTGATACTCATTAATATTTATTGTGATATTTATTTCAGACGGTACATAGTGTTATGTTTAAATGGATTGTCATAGGCTCATAGCCAGCTACTTCATGGAGACGGTGTGTATGAAAATGGGATGTCCTGTTATCGTTCTTGGCGACATGGTGACAGAAAAGAAACATGTGGGTGGCACAGATGCAAGAATTTCTGACAGGAAGGAATTCGCTTCTTTATGGCAAAAGAACAGGAAATCAAAGGATAGAAATGTTTTGGAATTCTCTCCGCAAGCAGTGTTGTCAGTATTGGATGGAATCCCTTGACAAGCTAATAGATGATGAGTCGACTCGACTCTTCATTGGTAACCTCTTGGACAAGAATTTTGTGCAGTTTTGCTTTCTTCAATTACTTCAGGTGAGTTTTTCTCCAAGAATTGCTTATATGTACCAGCTATGATACTTCATATGGATTGAATTTAAGATAAAGTCATTCAAAGAGAATCTAAATTATAATAAAAAAAAGATTAACTTAATTTTATGGGAAAAATGATAACTGTTTCCTATTTTTTCAGGAAGACCTTGATGAGATGACAAGACGCATCATATAAGACCGTCCGCACGGTCGTCCACTTGTAATGTATTCACTACCAACTCTTTACTGTACCACTTGGTACCTTATAGATGTTGATGAAGAACGAGTAGAAACAGGTCTGACTGAATGAGTGTTCCGTGACCGAGTTTGTGACAAGGATGTTGAAAAATTGTGCAAAAATTGATCCATATGGAAGAAGGCGGATTGCTTAAACCCGACAACCTCCCAGACGCTGTAGAATTATACAAATATGTGAGAAGCAGGTCTTGTTTGGACCTTGGGTATTAAACATCTATTATCTCGAGCTTTACATAGCGGAAATTGAAATAATATGCTTAAACATTTGTATATGTACATGTACATTATATTGATTGATTTCATGGTTTAACATTCATGTTTCACTATGAGTTTTTGTAATTTCTTTACAAATACCATACAACATATACACGAAACTGACGTTATTAAATTTCGTTTGTTATCATTTCGCATACAATGGGTTAGGTTTATATTTTTGCAATGATTGCAGAAGGAAGAAAAAGCGCAAGCTTAGCCTGTTTGGAAGGAAGGCAAGTGAAAGAAAAGAAAAACAATCTCCGTAGCAGTGCTTTTTCAGTGTGTGAAAATATACAGACTGCCTTCATACTAAAATAGATGTTTTATAAATCATCATTTAAAACGATTGTTTATGTCTTTGTATTTTTCATGTGCTTTCATGATATTATATTTACATTCTGTGTTGCATTTGCCTATATGTTTTTAGTAAACCAAATTCCAGTATATGAGACTGTATACTGCAGTTTACAGTGATTCGGTCAGTGTAGGAATACAGCTCCAGGTGTCCTAGGTAAACAAACATGGCCACCAGTTACTTTCGGTATCAATAGGCCTATAGTCAGAGAACTTTCTGGGTTCGTTAGCATTTAGCAATGTAGGTCATCGCAAAAAAATAAAGCAACTTGACAAATCATGACAATATAAATTTATTATTTGATGTGTAGGTACCACAAAATTATTGTAAGCGCCATTCTAGATACGAAATTACCAATTTTATCAACGACATCACACAGGGGCTCGGTTTCGAGATTTTGAGTTATGCATAACATCAGTGAATAACCACAACACTAAAATTCAGCATTTATAAAACCTTGTAAAAGTCGAGGGAATCGACAAGGTTTTAGAATGTGGATAAATAACTTTTTAAGTGTTGTGGTTCTTCGGTGATGTCATCCGTTACTCAAAGTCACGAAACCGAGCCCCTGTGAACGTCGTCTGCTAGCGTTGCTAATCTGACATGGAATCTGTTTCAAACGAAATGTCCTTGGAATCGTTATCACCTACTGAAAGGACCACTTTAATAAAAAATGTCCGAGTATAGATGCCTCTGAAAATAACGTAATATTCCAGTCGATGGAAACATAAGCGTTTCCGAGGAAACAATCGAGTCCGTTAAGCCACAGGGGCACGCAAATACTGATCTTGTTTTAGGCTTTCAGTCGCTGGGTACGTTATAACCTAATACAAGGGTAGACACTCGCCAAAGAAGTTATTTTTTTCATACAAAGATTTCTCACATAATTCTTCATCGATTTTTATACGGTTTTCACCCAGTTGCACAAAAATGTTTGTCGTCCCGCCGAGAACACATAACTAGTCGGACCGGAAGTGGAGCTGCAGCAAGTATCGTTTCGGAACACTTCTCCTGGGCTTTCGGGGATCATTGTAAGTTATTAAGACACGTGTTATTGTTTACATTTTTCCGCTGATCGTCTGTGCTAGCTTCAAATGTATTTCTTGGTATGTTCTAATCAAATTATGGATGAATCTCAACAAATGTCGTTCGGATAGCTCATAATGGACATAACTGTTTGATAACTGGGTTTCCTGGAACTGGAAAGACGTTTGTTTTGGGGCAAATTGTAGAATGTCTTCTACTGGACAACCGCCATGTGCATGTGCCAGCATCAACAGGGAAAGCTGCATGTCTGTTGAAGTCTAGATTGACATCAGAGTTAAAGCTTTTACAATCACAGCTTTGATGGTTTAATGGATGGGAAGTTTTCTAACTCAGAGCTACTAAGACTTTATCAGAAAGGACTATGAGCATCATGTGAAAAGAGTACTTGATCTTGAAGTACTGATAATTGATGAAGTCAGTAATTACCCAGCAATCTCCTGCACTGCTGTAAAAGTAAGTCAGGTTCTTCTTGGCGATGAATGGTTGTCAAGTTGACATGATGGAAATGAACCATAGCAAGGTGATTAAGTGTGTAGCTCCCATCATCACCATACTCTGGAGAAGGGACTGGTGGCAGCTGATAAAAATCTCCTGACAGAACACCTAGCTCTAGATTTTACTGAAGATTTTATTTGGATTATCTGAATTATCTACTGCTTATCTTAGAGTATTTCATAAAAAAATAATGTTAATCTCAAATTATTTTCAAGGCTGGTTTGATTTAAGATGACCTTCAACCGTTAATTTTAGTAATGATATGCATTTATGTAAATATGTTAACCTTACATTGATGCTGTTCATGGATGAAGCATATCATCTGTAGGTAGGATGAGAGGAGTTTCCATTACAGATCCCCCTTTCCTGACAGAAATAGTTTTCAATAATGTCAGAATTGTATCTGTGTGGGTATACTACTTCCCCTGGGAACTCCCGAGTGTGCTGTTTACAAATAGCAATGAAAGTATACAGGACACTCAGCTGATCATCCAGACACTTCTTGCTTGGAAGCATTCTTTATTTGCTTTGTGCTCTACAGGAGCTTCACAGATACACCTGCATTAGTGGAGAAGTCAGGGTTTTAGCTCACCTGGCGCAAAGGTGATTACCGTTTGATTGCTGTAAGCCGTGTGACTAAGACAAAAAGGACTTCAGTTGAGGAACTTCACAGAGAGTCTAATTAATTGCACTATTAGAGCAAGTGGAGCTTATTGAAAATCATTTCAACCCAGAAACCCTTTCCTGAGGATATCGATGTTGAAGGAGATATTCTCAACAAACTGCCAATAGTAGAACCATCTGAATTACCTCAGCAGTTGCAGGAAAAAGAGGTTGTAGAATCCTTACGACAAAAGACAGGGCTCCATAAATTGATAGAATTCCTCTGGAGCGGGATCTACCCTACTAAGGAGAAACACCTGAAAGGAGGAAGCATATCTAACAAGGAGGTCAATGATTTCTTCAGGGATTTTAACAAGTTCCTTGCTTCCAAACACTAACATGCACGTGTACATGAGGTTTCTGTGAGCTTCTTTAATGTTGCTTTTAAAATTAGTCAGAACTCGTTCGGAAGGAAACCGTGAAACCTATCATGGAAAAGACAACCGAAATGTGTGCTGTGTCGGAGGAAACCCTCACATTTTTCTTGGCACTTGACAAGAAAATTCTACAATTGCAATCGCAGAAAAATGTTGAGATGCATGGAAGTGTTTGCAGGGCACGAATTTGGATTTAAATGACGTATTCCCTGTGGAAAGAAAAGGTCTGAGAATTTACGCAGGTGTGTATTTATTAATTTTAAACATTTTTGTGCAAGTGGGTGAAAACCGTATAAAAATCGATGAATGTGAGAAATCTTTGTTTGAAACAAATTACTTTTTTTGGCGAATGTCTAACCTTGTATTAGGTTACAACGTACCCAGCGACTGCAAGCCTAAAACAAGATCAATATTAATAGTAGTTGCGTGCCCCTGTGGTTTAGCGCCGCATCACTTCCAAATACATGTAATCTATCAATGCGCAAAAAACAGCTTTAATTTTAAACAAGCAGAATTTATGCTATTATTAACAGGTTTTCGACATATACACTCGTAAGAAATAAATAATAAAGTTAAGTTTGTGTTCAAACCATTTTATGTACGTGTGGTTTACAATGACACGAGGAACTATAGTATTTCTTCTGGAAAATTCGGCTGGTCTGGGATTTGAACTTGCTGACACGTATGATAAGCGGGAAATTCAAACGTATTTTTGCATCAGTTACTATACAAAACAAACTATATAAGCATTGAACTGTTACAAGATGCAGTATACAGTTGATATGAATGCAATTTGAGTGACAGATAAATATTCATGTCGCCGGGCATTCTATTCATCTGTTAACCAAATTGCATTCATATCAACTGTATACAGCATCTGGTTACAGTTCAATGCTTAAAAATAAGAATGAAAATTAAAAGTTGTAGAAAATGCCATAGAATCTTTTTTATTGAAACTGTAACGTTGGACGAGCGTCCGTTGTATACTCTGGCTAATGATCACAAATAGAAATAGTTTAAAGAGTAAATAATGTATTTACAGCAAGAATATATCAAACACAAATCA